TGTTGGGAGTTGAGTTCGTGGAGTCAGAAGAAAGGGGAGATCTTTTCGGCAAAGGAGAAAACCCTTTGGACTAGGGAATCCCTAGGGAGGAACAGGGCCCAAGGAAGTGGGGGAACCTGGGTGTGGGCAAGAAAAGTTGGGGGATGTACCCCAGTTTTGGAGGTAACTCAGGGAGGTTGGCACTTAAGGAGTGTGGCGAGGTCACACATCTGATGTCACCTCCCTCTTCATCCCTTAGATATTCTCGTGGAACACCCCCCCCCCTCACCCCCACCCCAGCTTCTGGGGCATCTGTATTCTCGCCCCCATGCCACCTCCTTTAGGTCCCTGGCAATGCCTCCAGCACCGTGGAGCTGGGGTGGGAGGTCCGCCTGGAGCCGCGGAGGCCGCGGTTTCACGCGGAGCTTCCTCTCCGATGTTTCCGGGGTGGCTGGATGTGGGGTTTGGCTATTCCTGGCACAGAGACGCCCACCAGCACCGAGGCTCACTGGCTTTAATATGGTTGCTAGGCTCACTGCCTGGTCTGTCACTGGGTCGCTACAGACTGACCTCTGCCCCCCTGCCCCCACTGGCTGAAGGTTAGGGGGGCATAGAAAACTGCAGAATATAAAAGAAAGAACTGGAAAAAAGTGACTCCAGCTGCCTTCTGTTTGAGTAGTTCCCATCCTGGGGAACCTCCCAGGGCCAGCATTTTCAGGGGGAGGGGAGATCGAGGGGGATAGGGGAGCAGTGCCAGGTAGAGGGAGATCCCCCTGGGAATGTTCACACCTTTTCCGGGCAAGTTCATCCAAGGGCCTCTCAGACTTCCACAGGGCACAGCAACTTGTCGCAGGCTCCTTAGCCGCTCCAGGAAGAGGCAGGGAAACAGGGGCTCCGGGTGACACAGAGTGAACTGAACCCCGCTCTCCTCATTAATTATACATCCTGCTGGGTGCTGAAGCTCAGCTGTGTTTTGTGGCAGCACGTTCGTGTTTTGGAAAATACTGGTGTGTTGGAAATAAGGGAGAACAATTAAAGCCCTCACTCTCTTCCTCTCCCACTTCTCCTGGAAGCCTCCAGGTACTGGGCTGGCCTGTTTCCTTTGGAGTTACCGCCTCAGTGACAGGTTTCTCCTTACTTGTCACGGTGAAAAACCTCCCAATTTCCAGCGCAGCCACCAGATTCAGCAGAACCCTAACCATGAGACCCTGAGACCATGTCCCTAGCGTTACTCTCCCCTTTACCACTGCTCACTCACAGACCTTCTTAACCATACATTTACTCTCCTCCCCCCCCCCCCCCCCCCCCCAAGAGTCTTCATCCCTGAAGTGTATGTTCCTTTCCTGAGTTTCAGTGTCTGCCCTGAGGAGAAAGATAGCTTATGGAAAGATAGCTTATGGTTGTATGCATCTAAAATGTTTTGTAGACTGAGTGATTTTGGTGAACTTTTTAACAGTCTTCTTATCCATAAGCGACTGAGCAGTCTTGATAATAATGAAAACTTTGTTTGTCAATGAATCAAAGTAAGTTTGGGTGTTTTTGTAAGTCCTGGGGTTTTAAGCACTCTAACGTCTTTCTACTCTAGGATATATGCTAGTATACATCAGTGCCACTGCAGTGCCCGGGGTGAAATGCTAATCATATCGTTCACATGAAGAATCTCTTTGCCGAGTGATGACCAAGCACAACTTCTGTCAGTTTTCTCAAGATAATAGATTTTTGGCAAGATTATTAGAAAAATAAAATAACCCCTATAATTAGGCTATATTTTGTAGCTCTAAGACCTTCTGAGTTAACATAACTAGAAATTTCTACAAAAAAAATCAGAGATGCTTGCAGTTGGTTGGGAAGATGTGAGGCGATGTAGAACAAGGTCTGGGCGCTTTTGAGACCATCAGAGTTCGTTTTAAACCATGCCCAGAATCTCTTACTACCTGCCTCTGGATTTGCTCAATTAAACCTCGTGTAGCCAGCTCTTTAACCAAGTGGTAAGAACTTAGGCCTTTTGTCAGCTACTCTTTCTTATCCTTGATGTCCATTGTAGTCATGGATTTTTTTGCCCTTCATTCTTTTTGCTTTCCAAGTATTTGGTAGGACAGAAGAATGCATTTGGCTTGAACTTGGAATAATTACTTTACTGCTGGGTTTCTCAAGCAAACCTGGGCTGCTTTTCCCCAGAGTTCTACTGGTCCTCACAGGTGTTCCCCCTCACCTTCATTCATTCCCAAGATGGTTTGGCCAGGAGCTGGGGGCCATAGGAAGGCTGGTCTTTTTAGCATCAGACATTCCCCTGGAGGTACTTTTCGGCAGGGAGCTGTGGAGTCACAGGCTTTGGGTCTCTGGGACCACACCATCCTTTTTGATCAAAGGAACCTGGGACTGTGGGTGCATCGGTAGTACCTTTGGCCTCTGAATCCCAAACGGTGAATGACTCTATTATTTTGAAAAGAATTGTATGTGGATTTTTCTTTTTAGGAAATAAAAAGGAACATGAATCACATTTCCCTCCTATTGGGACCTTGGACACAGTCATTTCAGTGCTATGCCCTTTTCTGTTCTTGGTCACATTGGTGTTTTTTTTCTGTTGCGTTTCATCAGAGCTCTCTCTTGACTGGGCCGTGACATTTTGAGGTCCAATCCAGCAGCAAACTGGAGTGAACAGGGAGCTGCTCCGGCAGCCTGAAGAAGGCCGTGACCTTGAAGAAGTCACTTAACCTCTCTGGTCTCTCTTTTCTTGTGTTTAAAACGTGGTCTTTGAATTCTGCGTTCTCATGTCCTTTCCTGCTCTCTGACTCAGTGTCAGGAAGTGGAAGGAGTTGAGAGACTGGGTAAAATTCTAGCTCAGAGTGTGTTTTGCGATGGTGCAGCCATTCCTTTAGGAATTCAGCCTCGGAGAGTCCCTGTGTCCTTCTCTCCATCTCCGGCCCCTCGTCCAGCACACAGTCTCCTTTTTTTTCACTTGGTCTGGAAGCCGAGGCCGACTTCCTGGGGAGCTTCGGTTTGCTGAAGGGCCTCTTGTGGTGTCCTCCCTACTGTCCTGAGCTAGAGCTGTTCCCCTGTGGAAGTTTGGGCTTGATTGAGGCTGGTCTGCATGTAGTGAATTATTGAGGTATTGTCTCCATGGTTGTGTCTGAAAAAACAACATGTGTTCTCCGTCAGGCTCCTGACTAATATAAATATCAGATCCCATTATGGCTTGGTAATTACCCAGGGTCTGGCCTGATGCATCCAATCAGGGCTGGAGCTTCAGGGCCTCTGAATTCTCGATGCACATTGGCCCTCGTGTCTCATCTCGCGCGTCCTGGGGATCAGCTGCATCGGACGACCTTCACAGGCTCCTTGCATGAGATCACTTAGGCCTTGGAGAAGTTCTCAGTCCCACTCCAGCTGACCTTCTCTTATCCAGACAGCTCTTGCTTCTCGTGCCTGGCTCTCTTTATGGAAATACACACTGGAGTAGAGACTATAGTCAGACCCACGTGCAAATCCTGGATCTCACATCTGTCAGTCGGGCATCTTTGTCTGACAACCATGTCAAACCTTGAATTCTTCATCTGTAAAAAGAGCATGATGATGCTTACTTTGTAGGACTCTTACAAGGAGTGGCAATAATGCCTGGCAGTGAGCAGGGCTCCTGTAAATGGGACCTGCTGTAGCTCCACCGAGTGGTGAGTTTATTTTCTCTTGATTCCTTAACTTTTGGCCCCTGTAGGACACAGACGACAACAAATAGAACATTTTAGCCAGAAAGCATCTCAAACCCTGAATTCAGCCTGAGGTTGGGCATCTGGCTGTTGCAGGGCTGGCAGACTGGGGAGGGGCGGCCAAGGAGGCTCTGTGGACGAGGCCTGGCAGGATGGCTGGTGCATCATGGTGCGGAAGCCCCTGGATGAGCATTGACAGGATGGTGCTCCAGGAGCTGTAGACACATCAGAAGTGAAAGGTCTGTTGGGCAGGGGTGGCTGTCCCCCATCCCTTGAATTCTGGCTCCTCGTGCCCCTTCCTGCTCTCCGATTCAGTGTCAGGAAGTGGAGGGAGTTGAGAGACTGTGGGTATAGTTTCTAGCTCACAGTATGTTTTGCAATGGTGCAGCTATTCCTTTAAGAATTCAGCTCAGAGCCCTGTTAACCCCATTCTGGAGCTCACAGACCTTCTCCCCCAGCACGGTAACAGTGTCCTAACCAGGATGCTCTCTACCTGGACCAGTTCTAGTGTTTCCCAAAGTGTGTTCTGTGGAGCACTTGCCCTTGAAGTTACCTTGTGAGAAAATGGAGAGTCATGGCATACCTGCGTGCCCCGGGGAGAGCCCAGGCTGGGGAATCCTGCAGGAGAGACACTGGTCAAGCTGCCCCTGACTGTGCTCACTTAGAGCAGCCTCGCCTAGGTGTTGAGCCTGCTGTGCATACCTGAGAGTCAGCCTGTGACCTTGGGCAAGGACTTTACTACTGTGTGCCTCAGTTTCCTCATCTGCAAATTGGGGATTGTAATAGAGCACAGCCCTATGGGGTAGGTACTCTCCTTAACCCCATTTCATAGCACTTCCTAGGAGGACACGG